TCATGGACAGTATGCATAAAAATATTTATTCCTTTGCTCATTCAGTAGAAAATTACTTCTTCCAATATGATACTCGAAAGAAGGGTATAATTTGGATTTAATACAATAGAGAAATATATGGTTTTCCGTAAACGGAAAATATACGGTCTGTAATTTTGAAGCCCTGAATGCAGGTATAACGGCAGGTCGGTTTCAAAATTAGTCGGGACTTAGAAGAGTTTCTTAAAACATAATTATACGCTTCTTTCGTGTATAAAATTTAAATAAAACGTCATTATCCACCGAATGAGTAAAAGAATGGATATTTTATGCATGTTTTCTACGAAATATAATTGAATTTGAAGGACATTGAAAATCAGTGAGGAAATTGCACGCTATATAAGTTGCCATTTTTACAAAGTAAGGTTCCTGCATACAACCGAAAAGAAGTTCATTCGCCAACCGAAAGCCTGTGGTAACTGAATTATTATAGAATTATTCTGCATGATGATTAGTTTTACAAACCTACTTAGTAAGTCTGTTCAAAACGACAACGCATTTCGGAATTTCGGCTGACATTTCATTAGTTAGCCCACCTAATGTATAATTACCGTCAGTTTCATTTCAAATCGAATGTCTCTGAATCTTCTTAAAAATTTGTATATCACACGTTAGTTTGTGACTTGAGGAAAATTCCCGTTTGCTAAAAAAAGCGTCTCTACTCCCATCCTTTAAAGTCCCTCGTGTCTCCCTCTGTCACTGACTAGAACTAACCTGATCATCTTGATGGTTTTGTTGTCAGAAGTGACGCACCAACTCTCTTCCACCAAGCAGAACCAGTTAAACAAGCTATATATCATTATGCCGGCCAAAACATGGCGTTTTCTAATGAAACGCCAAATAAATGTTGATTATGATGCATATTATAGGTCACGTACATGGATATGGGAGGTAGAGACAATCTACTTCTTTCGCTTACAGTTCGAACCGTCACTACGCAACGAAAGCGACTCGCGGTGCACGAGCAATTTGACGAAATGGACTATACATGCGAGGGTGTGGGCTGAGGTCGAACCTCAAGCTCCAAAGATGATCATTGGGATGTATTTCTGAAGACCAGTCCAGAAAGAAACTGTCCAGACTTAACAGATGTGTGTTTTTCGCTGCGCTTGGGAAACAAAATGACTGTTCCTACTCATGGATCTTTAATAAAGAAAAATTATTTTTGTACAAGGTCTAAAGATAGTTGGTGCGGTGACCCGACTAGAGTGCACCTTTTTGATTAATATCGAAATGTGATCTTAAAGTGAATAAGGCTTTTAAATCTGTGCCGAGGTCCGCTGCGGCATTAACCAGATAGTTTGACCGTCGAATGAGACCAGGTTCATCTCAACCCATAGGAATTGGGCCCAGCACTGGTGATTAGCACGTAAATTAGTTCGCGCAGCATTTACAGCGCCTTGGTCGCCCGCACACACTTTGCTCTGATGGCAAGCAAATGTCAGGATGACCGAAGTGGGTCGAAACGAGTGACAAAAGTTAAACAGCTCCTCTACGCGTGCCACGCACACGACCCGGCCCACACTGTATATACCAGTTGCAATAAGGGTAACACGGATCTCTTCCCAATAAGAACGCTATAATGCCCACTTTGGGAGGGACTCAGTGCAGTCTGATTCTAAGTTCTGTAGTCACTTCAAAATGAGGACTGATCAATCCCATTGGTTGGTAGCCCTCCAAGCCACACCTTTCAGCATGCTGTGTTAGATTCAAATGCGTCTCATTTACCATAGTGAGGAGGAGGTTTATTCGCAGGGTAATGGATTCAACAGCATCGACCTCACTTCCTTCTCTCATGCATCAGCCGACTGTCTGAGTCTGTCAGTCAGTTGAGGAAGACTAGTATACTTCAGTTTCCCCATACCTGTCCGATCATATCTGCACGTCAAAGTCTAGGTACTACAAAAACTACGTAACCTCTTCTGTTGACTTAACACCCAGGTCCGACTCAGGCCCTTTTCGTGCGTCCAGTCAGGACGTTCGGTCAGACATTCAGTTGCCTCTCATCGTCAGGTGGAGTTAGGGGTGTTAAAAAGGGAGCAGGGATTAGCAACCGAAAAATGCTGTCATTTCTGAAAAATAAAAATACCTGTGCAGACTGGCTGCTGCAAACGCATGTGATCTCAAGGTCGGAAAAAGCAGAACGCGACCCAAATAGTTGTATCCCGCTCGGGGTGGTGGTGGTGGTGGTGGTGGTGGTGGTGGTGGTGGTGGTGGTGGTGGTGGTGGTGGTGGTGGTGGTGGTGGTGGTGGTGGTGGCATGCCGAAACTGTAGTCATATGCTCCAGTGCGCTTGCCGCTTCTGACGGCGAAAAACGAGCAGCGTAGATCTGAGACCTCAGCTTTTCCCCACAGTCAGCGCACAACCTCACCTGCAAGGCAAACGACAGTGATCTGAAGGCAAGTCAAGGTCAGCAACTGGCCCACTACCACTACTGCGTTCTGGCCGCATCTGCGCCAGCGCGGCAGGAAACTAGACTTGGGCGCGCGGATACAGGTTCACTGGTGGGAAAAAGGAAGCGGCGCGCCATTCTGCGCATGTAAACGCCTGCACCTCGGGCAGGTCTGTCTGAGCGTACGGTGGACATGCAGTGTGGTTGTAGACAGCTGAACCATGTGACCAAGACACACCGTAGTCATACCCCGCACGTGCACTGTCAAATGGTTTTTTGAGGTACGGCATGGGGCAACGGGAACGCCATTTTCCCGCAAAGATAAAACGCAGTACGTAACCCAACACTGAAATGTTCCCAAATTTGCCAAGCATCCCTAAGTACCCGAAAACTGGCCCAAACCTGTTAACCAAAACTCCAAATTTATGCTGATAATAATGGAGGAAAGTAATAGTAAAAGGATGAATTAAAAAAAATCAAAATAAATATTAAAAGTAATATTGAATTGGTTGTAAATGACCATTTTCAAAAAGGCGGGATCACGAAAAGTCCAAAAACCACGTCAGACAACTTAACTTAGGTTTTTGAAGCATATAAAATCGCTCTAGAACAATGTTTGAAAATATTCCTTTATTACAGTTTAACTTAAGTATGGCGGTTAGCCAAAAGCCATCACTTTAGCATGGTATCTAAAACGCTTTCACGAAAATTCGCTACGATTTTACCGCTTGTCAATCGTTGGAGATGCCGTTGATTGAGGCAAAGAGGAGGTCGCTTGATTTTGCCTATTGGAGTACGAAACTTGAATAGAATTACGAGATGCGATCATAAAAATATTATTTTGGGTCTAAAAATAGAACTTTTCTTCCGAAGGTTATATTCTATTTTGCAAAAAACCACCAATTTTTGAAGAAGAACCAGGCGGTGGATGCATACGTTTAAATAATTCTTCACCTCCGCTACAGAGTATGTGAGTAAATCTACAAAGAACCGATGAAAAACAACCACTTAATTTTTGCCTAATAAGTGTTTTCCTTAGGTTGTGTAGCCCCAAGTCGGCCTTGACGCATACATCACCTATGCATCATATCACATCATGCATCACAGCGATGAATCGATAGACGAAACAAGGCCTACCAAAACACAGATGGTATTTATTTATACATAGTAAACCTAGTGGGATTACAAAACCTATCCTTAACTCACTCCTCCGGCATTCTGCAAGGATGGTAGCGATTTGGTACTTAGCCCTGCGTGCAGACCATCTGCATAATTGCAAATGAGGTTTAAATTACACATCATCCTTCGTGCTAATAATAATCACAATGCTTGTGATTGTTATCGGAGGAGTAGTCAAACAGTCTATGCCAACTGTCTCATTTGATACATGCCAACGCGTCAAGAGGTCATGTGGGTTGAAAGTTCATTCATTATTGACAAAACCAAAGCCATAATAATTCGTTTCTTCCCTAACAGATGGGTTCTAGAACACCTTGTTGGGTGCTGCAAACACTGTTCTGAATAGTATTCATCTTAGATTTGAAGGTTGTTAGGGTAGGGTTATACGAGTGCTCGGGGAATGTTGACGGGACTGCCCTGCCAAATAGCGATTCAGCGACGTAGAATGCTTCTATTTTAATGCTAGCAAGTATTTTGGTGACAATACTTCTTCGAACACAGGCCAATCAAATCTTGGGTGGACGCGAGAAAACTCAGTTCTACTCTGGTTCGTTGGTTACAGTGGTGAGATATCTAAAACGACTAGTACATTACCTTCTAAGACCGATTTTGTTTAATGGGAGAGATCTCATTGCCAGAAGTGCTCCACTATGAAGTGAGTTAGAACAGCCGGTTCCCGAATTCACGCCGGAAGGTTTTACCCTGCTTTATCTCCTCCCCTTATCACATTTAATTCGTGAATATAAAAAGATGCCAGCGCTGACTTCGAGTATCGCTTCACGTAACTCTGTTGACTTTTTGGTAAAGTGTGATTGTGTGGCCCCATGTGATGGACACCATACGATTAGGGTTGGGGTTAGGGATGAAGGTTAGTGTTAGGGGTCAGAGGTTTGAGCTAGGCATTCGGGCAACTATTTCTCAACCACTCAAAGTACAACCGCGCATTCCCAATAACTTTTCTTTTGGATAAAACTACTTGTCCTCGTCGTCTGTGCGTTCCCCGACCACACCTGTAAAAACCCCATCACCATCGGTCGCGTATTGCGGGTGGCTGGGGGTTGTTTACTTCGGGTGGGGCTACATAACCGCATCTGACCGACTTTTTACACCATTGACACTCTGGAAATCAATTGCGTCTCTCCCGTCCGTGACATTTGAATTATTTTTTCTCTCTTACAAACAGTTTTGTGAAAGAACTGGAAGGTATGCAGGAGCTTAGTAAAATAAATAACTGTACACGCATGACTAACAAGGAAACTGAAGAGAGAGGAGCTGGAAAACAACCATATTTTCCCTCTCAGGTTCGTGAAGGTGGTGCTCGCTGAGAAAATGTGTTCGAGTGTTCTTGGAGGTGGATGAACTAAATGCGTTGGGGGGGGGGGGCGTAGGTTAGAGGAGGCTGTGGGTTCGAAAATGAAGGCTTTCTCTCAGATGCGAGGGACAGCAGAGACTGTCTACTTGATGCTGGAAGAAGTTTTGAATGTTGAGGCAGCCATCTTCCACGTGCTCCGTTGACAGAGCTTTGCACATTGTACGCTGTAGTTCACGGCGGATAATGCGAATACACAAGTGGCGCAGAGGAGCGATTGGGTGGAGGGAGGCAGCGAGGGCGCGCAATCTGATTGGTGGAAGAAATTAGACCTAGAAGTTTCTGCATTGCCTGAATTTGATAATGTGGGTTTCTAGCACAATCATCTACAGATACCATTTTTCTGATTTGCGGCTTGCAGGCCTGATGCTTACGTTACTGGCTTAAAGTTGGTAGGACTGGGATTTAATGAAAGATGAAGCATCCCCCAGAACACTTACTTGCCTACGCCCTACAGTAATTTTACATTGTTATTTAGAGACATCCTCGTGGTTTTTTAGAAGCCAGTTTGATTAACTGCACCGCAACGCCTATCTAGGTCATTTAAATTATATATGCTATTTGTATTCTCCTTGAAAGACCTGAGGCGCTATGCATACCCCTATAATCTACTAAATTAAAAAAAAAACATTGGGAAAGAATATTCGACAATGTGAACCTGCGTTAGTGACTCACTTTATTGTCATGTAGCTTGAAAAATCTGCCAACCATCATGCTGCTGACGACGGCTAATAAGCCAGGAAATGGACCTCCCGTTTGCCTGTTTCTTCATGGGCTCTATCTCACCAACATATACTACTAGTCGCTATGCAATTGCCCGTGAGGGCGCAAAATTGAGACCCATGGCGCAAAGAAATGGACGTGTTCCGTAACCTGATCGGAGAGCGTCCATCTACCGTATATGTTTATATGTTGAATTCTACTACTTGTGAAAACGGCTTACCTGTTTTATGGACATTACGTGTCTATTCCAAAGCATTTAAAAGTCTTCGACCCAAATGTTCATTGAAGATTTGATCTAACTGTTGAAAGTTCTCTCCTGGGCAATCAGACAGGGCCCTGCACTTAAAAATATCCAACATTATTTGCCTGGTGATGCTCTGGGACGGGTATATCAGGAAACTCATAGAGATGGTGACGCGGTTGTCATAATTGCCACAAAATTGGCGCGTCGTTCGTCCTCCAATCTACCGGTTGTCGCCGCGTCTGCGAATCATGGGTTGCTTGGGTGCATCGGTGGCCAGATGTTTGACGATGGTCAAGCGACTTCTGGTTAGCTGTAAAACTGACCAGCAAGCAGCATAATTCTATAGTGATTCAGTTACTTCAGGATGCCGTTTTTCGAATGAACTTTCTTATGGCTGTATGTAAAAAATCACAAATTGTAAATAATGATTACATATGTAGCATGCATTTTCCTCATTGATTTCTGATTCCCTTATAAATTCGGATATATTTTACAGAAAACATTCACAAAATATTTATTTTTTACTCAGCTGGTAGTACAGTACGTCTTCTTTTAACTTTTTATTCGAAGGAAGGGTATAATTCGGTTTTGAAGGACTTTCCCAATTCCCGAATAATTTTGAACCCGACCTGCCTTTTCACTTGCATTCAAGGTCTCCAAAATACAAGCCGCATATTTTGCGCGTAAGGAAAACCGTACATTTATCCGCAGTATTAAGAGGAGACCATATCGGATTCATCAAATTTAACAGTGGATCCGAGACAATTGTTAACTTTACAAGCCACATTGGTAAACGCAGAGACATGACGTTATATGAACTGCCACTTTACGGTATTAAACAATCTCACAATTACAAACTTTTTTCAAAACCGAATTATACTTTTTTTAAGAATATAAAAGTTGAAGAAGACATACTGTTCTACCAAATGAGCAAAGAACAAATATTTTATGAATGCTTTTTGTAAAATATATCTTAATTGATAAGAGCATCAAAAATCAATGAGAGAAGTGCATGCTACATAATTAGCCATTTTTTACAAAGTGGGATTTTCGCATACAGCCGTATAGAAGTTCATTCGAAAGCCGGCATCCTATGGTAGCTGAGACAATATAAAGTTGCGCTGCAGGCTGATTAGTTTTACAACCCTACTTACTTAGTCTTTTCGAATCGAAAACGCATTCCGGAATTTCGGTTGATATTTCATGAGATAGCCTACGTACTGTAATTCATAAGCCCGGGCTTGATGACCCTAATTTCAGCTTTCACGACCTTAAAATGGCAATCATTACGAACTTTCATCAAGAAAGGCGCAAGAAGCCATTGTGCGGACCGACCGCCCAGTCAACCTTCATGCAAAATGGACTGACGAGCCTACTTAACAGGGGGCAGTAAAGGCATAGAGCCGTCGTGTTTGCCGGTCATCACCGCGGACTGCGAGCACCAAGGACTATGAAGGTCTTCCACATCGGCAGTCGGAATCGATGCTTTATGCATCAGGCGCAAGACTCCAACAATTCCCATGTCATATAATGATAACTGTAGACAGAAACGCCTGTGCCTGAAGAGTAGTAGAGAAAATCATTGTACGAGACGTCAGAACGAAAGCATAGGTTCCAGATATACGCCTTCCTTTTCATTCGATAGACATATATATATGGTGGTAGGCGGCGCTCACCGATCGTTCATACGGAACTCACTCGTTCCGTTGTGCCTTAAGGGCTCTCTCTCGAGCCCAACTAGCAGCCGCACAGCGGCGCATGATACATAGGCAGAAGAGCATTACCTACAAAGACAAGGGAGACTGGAATGGCCATTTCTGGCTTATTAGCCGTCGTCAGCCAGCCATACCCAAGCCCGAAGTGTGGAACACCCGAGCCTCGAACTCGCGACCTGTTGGTTTAGAAGTCCACGCCTCTACCCACCGGGCCACGAGCCCGTTGCCCTGTCGGTTTTCGATCGGGAATATACAATGAACAATCGGTGAGCGCCCCCTATCATTGTATATTCCCGATCAAAAACCGACAGGGCAACGGGCTCGTGGCCCGGTGGGTAGAGGCGTGGACTTCTAAACCAACAGGTCGCGAGTTCGAGGCTCGGGTGTTCCACACTTCGGGCTTGGGTATGGCTGGCTGACGACGGCTAATAAGCCAGAAATGGCCATTCCAGTCTCCCTTGGCTTTGTCGGTAATGCTATTCTGCACATATATATATACATCGCGTTCAGCATCTTCTTAGAAAGACGAAGAAGAGGGGGCGAGTTTAAGAACCAAACTGTACTCGTAATGTTGTTTCGGAAACTTTACTTTTTTATCATCAGACCAGTTGGAGCAGCAACCTCAGCGCTCTGATGATGGAAAGGAGGAAGGTTTCGAAGCGTCGGTACAAATAAATTTCGGTCCATAAACTTACCCCTGCTCTGTCTTTCTCTTCTTTGGCTTCTTCGTGAGATAGTTAATGCAATATGATATCTAGACCTCGCATCTGTAGGCATATTAATTTATGCTATGGATGTGTAGCCATCCGCTCATCCCAAAGAGAGAGTCGTTAATCCACGCTCAGCTGAAATTCCTATAAAGGTGCCTTGGTGAGAACGTCCCTCCGAAATGTCTCAGGCATGCATCGTCTGTGAATGCTGACTAATGGTAACGGACTTCGACTGAATACAATAAAAACTTACTTGGGTGCTGATATGAGACTGCCCCATTTGCATTCACAAATACCGCGAAAGACTGAATAGCGTTTGGCAACTTTCCAGTCGATCTTTGGAGCGCACTAGCGGTAAACCCTCAAAGCGGCAATCTTCGGTAGTGCACGGCGTCGCCACAAGTTATTTGGTCACCAGATGCTCGAGGTATTAGAAAAAATGAGTCTTAGTTCACAGCTTCTCTTCCCCTTGTCACACTCAGCAACATCTAGCGATTCTATCCCGTAACGCGAAGCTCAGCACCAGAAATGCTCGACAAGAGGACATCGTTGCATTCTCCAGAAAGTGTGAAACTCCCGTGGGGCAAAAAGTCTCGACTTTACTCCTCCACCGCAAACGCCAGATGATGATTTCTAAAGCTGAAAATCAAGAACGTCTGAGGATACAAAAAATGGAGAATATAGTTACCCTACCCGCCAAAAAGGGGCGCTCGATTGTCGGCATGGATGAGGCTGAGCACTGCGCAAAACTGGGCAACCTCTTGATCCACAAGGAATCTTTTGCACCATCGACTGCCAGCGAGTTCAGGAAACTCGTTCACAGGAAGAACACGGCGATGGGCAAGAGGAAAGAGGCGGGGGCTCTCACAAGAGGGCCACGGATGCCGCCATGGCACGCTTTTAATACTGTAGCAGCTTCTCCATTCCCCCTTTTCTCCGGCTCCGTTTTGTCGGTCGATGGCCGCCACAATCGTCACCAGGCCGCTGACACACGACCATCCCCGACGGCTAGAACTGGGGCCCCTCCTGTCCAGGTGCAGCGACTCTCGGCTGACCTCACAAAGTTTCATCACCTCACGCGCGTCGAACGCTCTGGCTTGATACCCGTGAGGACTTGTGAGCATACGTCCTCCATTCCTCCCCCTAATTTGTCCAATCACACGACCAACACTCAGCCAGTCACCCCCTCCTGCTGACACAGACACTCACTCCCGCGTAAACAACACACCGCGACTGACACTCCGTGAACGGACGCATATCTCTGTCGCAAGTGAGCCGTTCCAGACGCGCTGACCTGAAGTCACAAGACCGACAGCTCGGAAATACCTGCGTCCGCACAGCCGCAGCTGCCCATGCGGCCACTTGAACGCACCTCCACCCTGCAACCACAACCTAAGCAACGGGGACACCACATCTCGTCAAATGCAACACACACTGACTGGACACCACTTGAGCTTGGCCCAAGAACCTACAAAAGCGACTGCCACCACTTTCTTAGGGACCCTCAGGCATGACTTGACGCAGTCAACACCAGTCCTGGCGTCGTCACTGGCCACTGCCGCCTGAGAGGACAACTCCGGGTTCTGTGCACAATAAACCCCTCATTCTGGTGTTTTCTGTCTTCTCCCTACAACTTGGGATCAGACCTGACGATGGTATCGCACAGACAGGGACACAAACACACCGCGACTGGCACTCTCCGGGAACGGACGCATATCTCTGTCGCAAGCAAATAGCCAACTTACGGCAACCTGCCCTGTGTATAGAATAAACTAGTCCTCACAGCTCTCTGACTTCTGACATTAGACGAAACGAACTTATTGTGCGTGGTTTAAGTTGATCTCACATCCTTGACTGTCACAATACCTAGCAGGATCGCTGTTGCCCAGTTCCGCCGCGCCAACACATTTTATGCACACAGAAGACTCTCCACATACCCGCTTTTTAAGTACTTCCACTTTGCCACTGCCTCGGCCTGTTGCTCGTCGATGAAGAGATGGTCAGGGGCCAGGAGCAGTTCGGTCAGACACTCACTCCTCAGTGTGCCCAGAATGATCAGTCTGCAGAGGATCTCGAGGAAGTCATTGATGCAGGCCTCAGAGGCCTCTCCGTTCGAAGTCCCGAAAGAGCCAGCGCGAAAGATGTTTGGTAGGAGGGCATTAATGAAGTCTTCGCTGGTTTGTTTACCGGAGGACTCGAGTGCGTCGCCTAAAGGGCAGTAACCTGTCGGTGAGAAAGGCTGAATACTACAAAACGAAACATCGGACTTCATGACTAGTTCTGCCTCTTTTGAGAAATGAGCAGTTAGAGAATTGCTGATATTTCAGACAGTTGTCCAAATAGAATTCAGGCAAGGGTCGAGTACGCTGTCCCCGTCCCAAATGTAATCGAATCAAAGGTAAACCTAGTCCTTAACGTAATTATAAACCTAACGCTAAGCTTGAACTTAACGTCAAACCTAACCCTAACTCTACCACAAACCCTAGCTCTAATCCTAAGTCTAAACTTGACACTAACCCAAATCCTACCCCTAACCAGTACTGTAAATTAAGCGCTAACCTTAACCATAATCCCGACCTTAACCGTAACCCAACCCTAACCCCAACCTCAATACTAAGCGTAAACCTACACCGTAATCCAAACTCTAATTCCAACCGGAGCCTTTAAACTTACCACAAACTACTACCTCAGTTGTCCCACTAACGATTTCAGCATTCTCCTTTGGCTTACTTTACTTGCAATGTCCACATTACACTTACACTTCGAACCAGGACAGCGCTACCTACTCCTACCGAAGTTCGTCGTCTGATTTGTAATGAGCTAATTCATTTGTGACTGGGACCACCGTATTTGCATCTGGTTTTAAGCAAACGCAGGGTCGCACGACTCCATCACGAATGTCACTTTACTGCAATTAAGACACGCTGACCTACAGGCGCCAAATCGGCTTTAGCTTAGACATACAGTACGTGACCTATCTCATTAAACTTGATGACAAAAATCGAGATGGGTATTTTCAGACATGTCAAACGTTGCGCATTTAACATGCATGCATTTAAGAATGCATCAACCGGCACATCGATTTAGATGCCACATACAAAATCATTAAGGACAGTTTCAAAGTGATTCACCAAATCCAGAGAAGCTGACCTTAACCAATAATTATTTTTGCACACCCGTTGTCTGAAGACGAGCTGGGGAACCAGTCTCGAAAATTTACATAATAAATTTTACCGTTTCCCAAAGAATTCCATCCTTCTAAATGCTGAAATCTATATGTTTGTGGATACGTGGGAAATCCCTGGTGAGTTAGGGTTCCGTCTTGTGTTCTGTCTCTTTATATACTTTACAGTTTGCCTATTCTGTTCAAAATTCTTATTTCCTGCGTTTGGTTGACTAACGAGCATTTGATATATTTCATTTTGATCTGACTGTGAAAAAGTCGGCGACCTCGGTGAGATTCGAACCTACGACAGCAAGGGGAAGGCTTTAGTACAGCCAACGCCCTAGCCACCAGAGCGATGAGACCCCATTGAAGACCGTGAGTTTGAGCACGTTTTGGTCAGTTTACTCGCCCACGGTAGAGCAACGAGGAATCAAAAACAATTAAAACCGGCCTGTAGCAGGTGTGTTGGGGCAAGGGCGCTGACTGATGCTTGGAAGGCATTATGACCTGGTCTTACCTCAAATATCTATACCTGTACTGGCACTTACAGTGCGTGACCGATATCATGAAATGTCGGCCGAAATTCTGAAAAGTGTTTTTGATTAGGAAAGATTGCTGAGGTGGATTTAGTATACTGATTATCTTACGGCATATTCCTATAATATTTCGAACTCGGCAGGATCTCGACTTTGCATGCACCTTTTTTCGGCCTCCTGTATGAACTGTACTCGGTAAAGAATGACTACTTAAGTAGCATGTATTTTTCACATTGATTTCCGATGGTCTTATAAATTCAGTTATATTTCTTAAAAAACATGGACGGAAAATGTTTTTTTACTCATTCGATAGAGAATCACGTCGTCTGTATACTGTAAACTTAAAGAAGGGATATAATTAGGTTTTAAAAAACGTTTCCTGATTCCCGAATAATTTTGGGCCTGATTAGCCGTTGCATTAGCGCTTAGTGATTTCAGTCTACAAGTTGCATGCCTTCCGTGTATGAAAAAACCATACATATGCCTTTAAAAAATATTACATAGAGTCCATACGATTTTGCAATGGAAGCGGACAGTGTTGTGCATTTCAGGAGGAGCAGTAGTAAACAAACAGGTTTGATGCTGTGTGAATAGAGATTGCACGGTCTTAAAAAATCTCATAATTAGAAACTTTTCTAAAACCTAATCATATCCCTTCTTTAAGTTTACAGTATACAGACGACGTGATTCTCTATCGAATGAGTAAAAAAACATTTTCCGTCCATGTTTTTTATGAAATATAACTGAATTTATAAGACCATCGGAAATCAATGTGAAAAATGCATGCTACTTAAGTAGTCATTCTTTACCGAGTACAGTTCATGCAAAGTCAAGATCCTGCCGAGTTCGAAATATTATAGGAATATGCCGCAAGATAATCAGTACTACAAATCCACCTCAGTAATCTTTCTTAATCAAAAACACTTTTCAGAATTTCGGCCAACATTTCATGAGATCGGTCACGCACCGTATATGAGTGTGTGTGTGTGCACGGAATTTGCATACGCATCCATGTCGATACAGTAAAGAGACGCTCAAGTTTCTCAGCTTGCGTATGATGTCTTTTTGTTGTGAGTGACGCACTCACCAGGCCCCCATTCAGCAGTCTGCAGACGGATTAGGTTGGCGCCTGTCCAGAGACGAAACACGCTTAGCACGCGTTGTACCTGCGAACACTTGATGCGGGCCAGCAGTTCTCCGACACTCAGAACAAGTAAGTCGGCCCGGACGGTGTTCTCGTCAGCCTCTGCGGGTGGGGAGAGACAGCGCCTCCGCGGCAAACGGCTCAGGAGGGCACTCAGACAGCCACAGGCACCATGTCCACGAGCCAAAAGAAGCAGGAGGGCGGAGCGTCCGCTGTGATTGCAGTGCAGCAGGTGTTCCGGTGGAACTGCTTCAATGAGGAAACGAATGGCGCCGCAGAGACCCTCGGCAGCAGCGAGCAGGAGGGGTGAGTTCCCCGAGTCGGGATCCTGTCGAATGTGGAAGGAGGAAAAGATTGAAATGAACGACCAGAAAAGGACCCTTAGTCCAGATAGAATTGTCTACCAAAGCGGAAGAGTTCAGACATTCTACTGTAAAAAATACAAACCATATTTTTGTAACACTTAATATAGGCAATCTACACACACACATATATATATATATATAATAAAAGCGAAGATGCACGTCCCCGGCATAAATGAGAAGAAAAGGCGACCTCGGGAACCATAGTTTTACTGTCCTGGCGTTTCAAAAGCAAACAAGCTTCCATTGTCGGATACAAACTCAGCCATCCCTAAACCTGGTTCTGACGAAAGCGCAGTCTTCACCACAACCGATCCATCTACAAGGCCGGCGGACGAGAAAACGGACAGTCATTGCGGAGTAAACAAGATTGCCAGCCTTAGACGACAGCAAAGGTCAATGAAGTTACAAACAACGGCCACCAACGTCTCAACGCCGGCCCCCGATGTAGATTGAGTACATTCCTCCCCCGTCCGCCACAGTCCCTGTGTGCATGCGGCTGGTGACCACTAAAGCTGATCCATCACCCTTCTTATCCAGCGAAAAGATGCTCTAGGAATCCCTTCCCGTCCCTTCCTCCCTGCCGCCCTGACCTTATATTTAAAAAAAACCGTCTTGACATGACTGTCACCCACCTATAAATATTGTGAGGCGCGATACCGCACTCACCTCCGACGATGGATAATTGTTTGCTTTTGAAAAGTCAGGACAGTAAAACTATGGTCCCCGAGATCGTCTTTTCTTCCCATATATATATGAAGACAGAAGGCTCGTGGGAAAAAATCGAGTTATACTCGTGAATTTTCGAGCTGGTGACCCTAACCTCTCGTCAGACGATATATATGTGTATTACAAAGGTGTTATACCGTACCTCCGACAAAGATACTTGCTTAAAGCTCAGACAAGTGTTTCGTCAGCATTCCGCCGCTGTGTGACGCAACACAGAGGAGTTCGGCTCTTCAGTGTGTCCCCCAGCTTTTCCTATGCGGTTTGTGGCATGTGAACTTCAGAGCATAGTCAAGAGAATAATTCCGGAAGATAATCAGTGCAGGAATTGGAGTTAAGCGTTCGGGACATTACTTTACTTAGGAGCAGATCCGAGTCGAAAACAACCAACAATTGTGGGATGACCACGTTATGACGCTTCTTAAACGTCGCCCGGCAGCAACAGAGATCGACAAAATAAATGTCTGGGCTTTTTGTTAGCAAATGTGTCGGAAGTGCGGTATAACACCTTTGCTATATGAAATTCACAATACTTGTAGGACTAATCGTTTGTAGAATGGGCATTACGTGGTTACTCCGTAGTAGTTGGTTGTCTTCGGCTCCAAAATCACGTCCCGGACACTCAGCTCCCTGTTCTGCACTTAATAATTTCTGAAATTATTCTCTTGATTATTCCCTGGAGTTCGCATACGAGAGACCGCATAGAGAACTCTAGGGGACCCGTTGAGGGCCCGAAACCCTCGTTGCTGCGTCATGCAGTAGAAATACCGGCGAAACATGCGTCTGGTTGAGCCTGCATCAGACTATCTGGATAAAGTACAAGTACTAGAAAGATATTTGTTTAATCGCCGCGCATTTTCTGATTGAATTCCGATGCCTTTTGAGGCCAGTTATGCTTCCTAGTTGTTTAGGGGCAGACACATTCCTGATACTGTCGTGTCCTGAAGTCGTGGCCTGGAAGGTTGCGAAATATGTGTGTATGCCTTGAGTGGCCTCATGGAATGTAAGCGTCTGCTATGTCAGGATCAACAAACTATGGCCCTCGCAGTCTAGTGTGCGTTGGCTGCTCTATGTCACCTGGTTTCCTGTCGGAAGATGCGTTTGCACTCCCAGTGAGTACACAGGTCGTGTCCATAGTTTCCCTGTCACACTCCTTCTCCATCTGACCCGTTTTTGTGTTCTTAGTTAAAATCCTGATCGAGTGTTTGTTGCGGACCAGGGGGTGTGGTGGTACGCCTAAATGCGAGTCCGGTCGTGCCAGTCTTTTGCACCCACTCCCGCCCCTGGTCTTCTTGACTATGTCTTGACACGGGGCCCAGGTGTGGGGGCAGGCGGAGTGCGGTAGATGCCGCGCACGTCTACTACCACTACAAAATAAACCACACCTAAGTCACTGTGCCTCCTTCAACCTGCTGTGGAGCACATGTTGAACACCCTTGAGTACGACGGTCGAACTGCTGTGATGTGTTAAATGACTGACTGGTGGACTGAGAGTCAGGTCTGCGGCGTGATCAAGGATGTGAGATCAACTTAAACCACGCACAGTAGGTTCGTTTCGTCTAATGTCAGAAGTCAGGGAGCTGTGAGGACTAGTTTATTCTATACATAGGGCAGATTGCCGTAAGTTGGCTGTTTGCTTGCGACAGAGATAAGCGTCCGTTCCCCGAGAATGCCTGTCTCGGTGTGTTTGTGCCCCTGTCTGTGCGATACCATCGTCGGGTCTGATCCCAAGTTGTAGGGAGAAGACAGAAGGAACCAGAATGAGGGGTTTATTGTGCACGGAACCCGGAGTTGTCCTCTCAGGCGGCAGTAGCCACTGACGACGCCAGGGCTGGTGCTGACTGCGTCCAGTCATGCCTGAGGGTCCCTAAGAAAGTGGTGGCAGTCACTTTTGTAGGCTCTTGGGTCAAGCTCAAGTGGTGTCCAGTCAGTGTGTGTTACATTTGCCGAGGGGTGGTGTCCCAGTGGCTTAGGTTGTGGTTGCAGGGAGCAGGTGCGTTCAAGTGGCCGCAGGGGCAGCTGCGGCTGTGCGGACGCAGGTATGTCCGAGCTGTCGGTCTTGTGACTTCAGGTCAGCGCGTCTGGAACGGCCCACTGCAAAGGCATGGATGACCTTGACGCAGCGAGGCCTTGGACAATGACGCCAGACCGGTATTGTTGCCTGCCACTATAAGTTCAATGGTTCCTTAATAGTGTGGCCTTCGTGTAACTCTAACACACGTAAGATTGGAGCCGCTCACTTAAATGATTTCAAAATCTGGTGCGTTGTGCCGGTGGCTAGGTCGTGGGTGGCAAGCGTAGACGGGCTGCTTAGTTCCGTCGACCACTTACGCCCAACTCTCGCATCAGATGACTGATCACGTCGGATAATCAACAGGTGTCTGGTGTAGGGAAGAGTCGATGAGGTCGACTCAATACGTATTCCTCACTGACACGCATTTGATCTCTCATAGTGCTATACAAACTGTGGCTTGGAAGGCTGCCTGTTGGGAAAACAAATCGGCCTCCTTGGAATCGAGAATCAGGCGGCAATGCCTTCTTCCTAATTTGACACTCCCACTTGCATTTGATTCGAAGCGCGTCCCCCCTACCCCCGGTTCTCTATGCAAACTCTGCTGACCAGACGAATTTGATACACGTAGACGCACTCTGTAGCCCTCGTCCGGCTCCCCTGACCGCATCTAAGTGAGTGATGTAGATTCCGCGCAAGTCTACTGCCATAATGAACTAGTCCTCGCGCAGGTCACCGTTCCTGCGACAGCGAAATTGCGAGGCGCGCGTTTATAGACGTGTTCGCGGGCGAGCCCGGTTCGGCATCTGGCGTCACCTACAGATGCCAAAGACTGCGACAGTGGCCAGAGCAACCCACGATACGCAATCGCCTGCGTGGACGTCCGCCCAGACAAATGACTCGATCGGCGTTGTCCGCCGCGTGTAGCCTAAAGTGGGAGCAGCATCTGCCACACTCCCTCCTCATCGATGACAAGGCTGGGGATGGGCGCGGATGACAAAGTCGAACAGTCCGTCTACGCGTGCCACGCACGGGCTGGTTCTCACATAGGACGCACTAGGTGGCAATAAGGGCGATTCGGGTTTCACATAGCAGAAAATGTCGTGAGGTCAACATTTAGAAGGAACCATTGCATACGAGGCGGTTAACTGGTTGCAGTAGCCCTTGTGAGCGTAAAGGCGTTGAAGCACCAGCCGGTTCCAACATGTTTGTGTGTATAGATGAGATGGAGCCGACAAAGACAAGGGAGACCGGAATGGCCATTTCTGGCTTATTAGCCGTCATCAGCCAATCATACCCAACCCCAAGTGTGGATCACTTGAGATTCGAACCCGGGATCTTTGGTCATGGAGTTTGACGCTCTACCATTGAGCCACGGGTCCGTTGTCCTGTCGGCTGTGATCGGGAATATTAATTACGACAGTGGGCGCTCGCCGATCAGGTTACGGAACATGCTCGTTCCGTTGTGCCTTGTCTTTGTCGGCTCCATCTCATCTATGTCTACTACTAGTCGCTGTGTGGCTGCCTGCGAGGGTTCTAGTATGAGCCCCAAGGCACAACGGAACGAGCATGTTCCGTAACCTGATCGGCGAGCGCCCACCGTCATAATGTTTGTGTGTGCTTGCTGATGCTGGCGCGTGTGCACTCCTGTGTAAACACAGATAGATGAAGAAACGTCGGATCCGTCCCGCAACCGTCATCCAACAGCGCCGAATTCAGTTTACATAGACGGTAGACTTGGGAAAATTCTTAAGGCATGAGTTTAAGACGGTGTAACACACACCTGTTTTCCTGAAAATGAATAGTATTTTTCTCTTACCTTGATGTCTGAGGAATGAATTTACACTTCAGTGCATCAAAAAGCACACAAGTCTAGTAGAACATATGGTGACTGGTAACTGTCAATATTATAGAAGGCCACGGAGGTTAGCATGTTTGTCGGACTTGGATTTCGTCATATAAGGGGACAGGAAAACCATGACCTCTTCAATGTCAACCAATGGAAGCACGGAACAACTTCGATGCCTTGTGTTACTTAAAGCCTCATGTACGGCAGAAAATACTCTACTTGTTGTCTTTTACTCTGCATCTACCGGACAGTACAGGTGCAGTTTTGCGCTTTGAACAATTATTTATAAACATATCGATTTGTAACTCGTTCTTGCGCAGACCCAGCCACTCTAAATTAATATCCGCGTCAGCAAGCGTAAAAGAGAAGTTTTTTTTGCATTGGAGGACACTTTCTCTGTTTCTAACGCACCTTTACTTCATCCGGAACATTCGCTTATAAAATACAGACGCATCTTCGATTGGCAAGAACTAGAAGCGAATCGCTAGCACAAGAACTTTATCCGCCTGACGTTTCGGATTCTCACTTGAACCCATCATCAGAGACAGTGACAGAAAGGGGTCAGAAACGGTTTCTGTCCCCGTCACCGATGATGGGTTCAAGTGGGAATCCGAAACGTCAGAAGAATAAAGCCCTTATTCTAGCGATCGCCTCTGCTTCTTGTCAACAAGTTTCTGGAACTCTCATCTTCACGTGTATCGGTATTTTCAACTATTCCAACCATTTGCGGTTATCGTCAATTGGCCTTAATTTTGCATCATTTCATTAAGGCAAGTTGTTCGGATGGGTATTTTAGTAGAAGCTCCGGAATATATGGGAATAAAAACGTATTCAGTCAGTTCTGTCAGCTTTTGATAAAACCCAAAATCGAAATTAATTTTCTGTAAAGGGGTTTTATTGGTGCAACCGTTTTACCTACATCCGAGGGGTGACTTTGTCCTCGCAGTCCTACGGCGTAGCTCAGTTGCATCAAAGCAGTTTAAAAACCGTATGACTACTTTGTTTAATTCCCTCTTTTAACGAAAATAAGCTGGATTTGTTGGAACTCACAACACAGGCCAGATTAATTCCACAAGTGGACAGAATTCTCAGCCCGAGACCATAGTTGTGTGAAACGAGGTTGCATATCACCTTCGCGCCCTGGTGACAGGAGTTCAACGATCCAAAGTCATAGCCTCTTGCGTGTAGGTTTTCGATACATTTCAACGAATAATTAGAGGACTGTATGTCTCTGACTGTCCTGGCGAGCTTAAGATCCATCCCTGTCATTCCGAGGGACCGTAAACAAAAACCGAAAAAATGGCCCCTCACAACCGAACTGACTCTGTGCTTCGGGTGCGACTTAACATCCCAGCGTTGATCGAATGCCCTCCCAGTGATTGAAACATAGGCAGCTTCTGATTGGTCCCCAACTCTGAACATTTGATTCTACGACCAATGCAATGTCAGCTTTCGTTATCTAGAAAGGTTTCTGCACAGGTTTGGTGCGCAGCGACCCAATGGACGCGGTCTAACTGTCCAGGTGATTAGCCAATGACCGCAATCGCTAGGCCATGACCTTGTATGCAGGGGCAAATTTACAACTGAACAATGTTTTTGAAAGAATGCGGATTTTTGGTTTAAATTAGCAGACTCTTCCATGCCCACACTTCTGTCAGACTGATAAACAACTACAGCATACGCCGTAGAACACTACGGTTCAGAAAACCACGATAACTGGCATTTAAGAAAGCCGAGTAAACAGTATAAGGAACAGGAGATCAAGTGGACCAGGGTAGAATAAGCCACAGCTGTTTGCGCTAACAAACGACATGAAGCTGTCAGAGATCGAACTAGACCGACGGCTTTTCGGCGTACAGTTTGATGAATTTATTAGAACTTACTAGTCAAGTAGTGGCTAAAAGCCAAGATGCATGTTGCGTGATTGTAGACGCAACAGCTTTGCCTAATTATTGGATCTTCAGACCGCCGCTGGAATTTAGGCCGTAGCCATCTGTACTGCGGGAGTCCATAATGCTGTGCCCAACAGAATTTGCGCCTGATGTCTTCGACAACTTCGACATCGAGTCTCCAACAATGTTTTTTTAAAGATTTTGGACCTACCTTTTGATGCCATCAACATGGTCGACCAGGAAAACATCATCTACTATACAGAACTACTGAATTCAATCATTCCCGATCTTCAGTTCACAATGGAAGAGAAAGTAGGGGACAAACTTCCATTCTTGGATGTTCTCGTCTGCCGCCAACCAAACGGGAAACTAGCGACGACCGGCCTACAGAAAATCGACGAACACGCTGCAAATGCTCAGCTACAACACCAACCACTCGCTACAACACAAACGAAGCTGTGTCCGCACGCTATACCGACGGGTGGAAACTCATTGCGGCGCGCCAGCCGCCAAACTGGACGAGATAAAGCTCCTGCAAGAACTCTTCAGGGCCAACGGCTATCCGCGGGCATTCAGTGAACGGATCCGAAAGCAGTTAATAAAACGGAATGAAAAGCATAGTCAGTCAAACTCCTGGCTGAGCATTCCGTACATTAAAGGGGTCCCCGAAGCCGTGGCTCGATCACTCGCGCCACTCGGAATAGGTGTTGCCCACAGGCCTGACTCAACAATCCGCCGGCAAGTGACGCGGTTAAAAGATGCGATCCATAAGCAGGAGATGTCGACCGTTGTCTACCGACTCCAATGCAGCTGCGAAAGGTGCAACTACGTTGGGGAAACCGGCCGGCGGCTGCAAAAGCGAATGCACGAGCATAAGTTGGCTGTGCGAAGGTTGGACCCGAAGTCGGAGGTAGCAACCCATGCCGCGCAAATGGGACACATCTTCAACTTTGACACCGCTGAGATTGTGGGCTGGGGCGGTAATCAAACAGCATGGTAGGTGGAAGAAGCCTGGATGTCGACCGACCGCTCTGTCAACCGTCTCCTCCTACCTGAATTTGCGTACCTTCATAACGGGGGACAGTCACGGCGCAGGAAAATCAGGGCCGTCATTCATCTCCGCGGTGGCATGCGGGTGGGATGCAGCCACACAGGCGGCATTGGCGGATCACGCATTGAACAGAGTGCGCCATATAAGGGGAGCTGTGCGCAGGACTTTCCAGTTTCTGAAGATGGATAGACGAATCAACTTCTCGAAACGTCGGACCTCCAATTAACCCCCTCCCCCGTGAATGCCTCTTCTTCTTTTGATATGCCACCTGAGAATCACATTTTCACTATTATGAATGAAAATGGCGCCTCTTTAAACCAGTTGCATCCCTCCAGGATGAGTTTGTGAAAACCAAATTAGACATTGTTAGGGTATAAGAGGTAAAGGTGTGTCCGATAATTTTAGGCTAAACATTTCGTTGACGCGCCGCGGCCGACTTGCTTACTGATAAAATCGATCGCACGCAGGGGTCAGATCCCTTTGGGTAAGATTTTCTGCCTGAGGTAACGTCGTGACACGACGGGGTGTTTATGCTTTTGGTCACTGTATCAACTCACATAGCCTCAGCACAGAAAGATACGAATCCCATTCTAAGCAGAATGCATGAACGCCGAGCTCAGTGGCGCCTCAGCACGAATTAATTGCGTCCTCTGATGGTTGGGTTCCTGCAGAGGTGGTTGCCCGCAGAGTCAAAAAACAACAACACCTGTGACAGGTGTAGGCCTGCAAGGCCTAACTGACGGGTAGACATTGATGGGCACGAATTCAACGAATTGGCTTCACTTGGCGAACCACGTGCGCCGTGTGTAGACACGCTGTTTTGTGTCTAGTCACAGGTTGTGGTCAACTAAGAGGTGCTCAGACAAGCCTCAATCAACTGGTCCTTCCAGCTCTCCTGTCTCTGCTGAACAACCTCCGGCGTAAAGGTCCCGCCTAAATTGTACAGGCGTGTTCATAAATTATAACGAAACTGCATTTCTCTAGTTATTTTAGTACAAATATTCTGTTGTTTTTGCGTGTTTCGAGGTTAACAGACCCGTCTGTTCTGTGTCAGCGTTGTCATATTCAAAAGTGCAAGTGGGAAATTGTGGAAAAAGGATGTTATCAAAATGTTCATTCGGAAACAGTGTTGGCTTGTTTATAGCGACAACCGTGATCGGTTGGAAGCAGTAATTAAGGCACTTTATATGGCGGCAAAAGACAGACGGAAAAGTATACATCCTCAACGTGAGCCAGAACAAACGAAACACTGTCCAAAATTTGGACTACTCTGTCAATATGAAAGGGTTGCTTGCGTGCGACTGTCACATTAACCAGTAAGAAACATAAACCTCAATCGATTTCTGCATGATAACATGCAGCCTTTTGATTAAACATGCTTTACTCCACCCGCTCAGGTAGCCACTGAAATAGAGAGAGCAACCTTTTATTGACTTTTGACACCCGTACGAAATCAATCACGTGTCACAGAAAAGAGAGCCAGACATTTTGATTTCCAGGACTGCTTGTGACCTGATATTTCCTTTAAATGCGATATCAAATCGAATGATGTCGTCTTGTTACAAAATGGTTTCATATGTGGAGACATTGCAGACATATCATCCCTCCCGTGGTATAATAGCTGCGAGCGTTTTGCTAGTGTGGTCGAATTTCATGCTTTCACCCACGTTTTTGAGTGTTACGGGACGTTTTCCCAACGATATAAAGATAAAGCTTGATCCTCATTAGTAAAGAATACTTGATATGGAGGTAGGATCGCCCATGAACAGGCGATGGGACTGACTGCGTTTAAAAATACACAGCAGTCTGCAAACCTTTTCTCACTACAAATATTGCATTTAAAGAAGGCTTTAATTGTTATGAAATAACCGCGTTAGACATGGCTTTTCCTACCTCCTCAACAGAATGTGGACGAATCATAATGGAAAATCGGCGTAAGAGTGTATACTACTCAAATGCTTCTTCATCCCCGAGTGCGGGCTCCAGAGTTGGTCGGAGCGACTCCCGACCACACGCCAGCACACTATCGTGCACGGGCTAGCTTGCGATCTCAAACAGGTCTGTAAACTCACCTACAGCATAAGCCTAAAATTTATGGAGCATTGCCCAAAACGTTCGGCGAGCCTGCAAATCCGGAAAATAACTGAAAGGACGGAGCGAAATGAAAAATGGTAAGGAGTACGCTTTCCAGTTAGATCTCTACTCGACTGCAAGTTGACCTCCAGCTGCACGTGCCATTTAAAAACACATTTTTGTGCTGTAGGGAAAACATCTCAGTCCATTTTCTGTGTATAGAATTTACTAACACTTGATGCGAAGAGTGTGTGACATAAAATCCATTTAATAAGATCACATTTCACGGAATTGCATTTTTTCAAAATTTAATGTTTGGATAATTTTTGAGGACAATCGAAGCGGAAATTTTAAAATTTATTTCCAATGATGAAGGATTACTTAAGTGACTATTTTGCGAAATAATCTCGTGATATTTTTAATACAGGCAGAAACGTAGGCTTTTAAATGCACATTTCGATAGGCTGCAAAAAACCGCAATTTGCAAAAAATGACTATTTAAGTAATCACGTTCTTTATTGATTTTTGGAGCTCTTATACAGTAGGTGGGCTTACGCATGAAATGTCAACCAAGAAGCCTCAATGCGTTTTCGTTTCGAAAAGACTAATTAAATATAGCTGTTAAACTAATTATCTTGCAGCACAATTCTATAATAATTCAGTGACCTCAGGATGTCGGCTTTCGAACAAACATCTTTTCGGCTTTATGCAAAGACTATACTTTGTAAATAATGACTACTTATGTAGCATGCATTTTTTTCTCATTGATTTTGGATGCCCTTCGAAATTCATTTATATTTCCTGGAAAACATGCATAAAAATCGTTCTTTTATTCGTTGGGTAGTACATTCATTCCAATTTTAACTTTAAACTCGAAGAAAAGGTAAAAGTTAGTTTTTAAAAACTTTTCCCATTCCCGAATAATTTTGAACCCTACCTGCCGCAAAATTTGCATTCAGGGTTTCAAATTTACAAGCCGAATATTTTCGCATGCGGAAAACCATACATTTCTCCATGGTATTAAAAGCAGATTATCTCGGGTTTTATAATATTTAGCAGTAGATTTAAGCCATATTGTTAACTTATCAATACACGTTGGTAAATGCAGATACATGACGTTTAATGAACGGCTATTCCACGCTAATAAAAAATTTCACGATTATTAACTTTTAAAACCAAAATAATACTCTTCCTTCGAGTATAAAATTGGAAGAAAATGTCCTTTTCTACCAACTGAGCAAAAA